TAGGAGGCTGAGGCAGAAGGATGCCTGAGCCCAGAAACCGTGATGGTGTCATTGCACTCCAGCCTGGGTAGCAGAGTGAGATCTCAACTCACCAAACAAAAAAAAAAGTAAGGAGAGAGGGCACTGGGGTCTGTGGGTGAGCCCAATCCCCAGGTAAGGGAAGAAGTCAGGTCATTTGGTATATTCTTTTTACCATGATGAAGGACTGTTATACTCTTACTTTACTTAATCAATCGTATATTAAGGAAATGAGCTGCCTCAAAGAATGAAGACATAGAAGTTCGCTCTTCTGTTTGCTCAGCCCTGTGCTAGTTTGGGCTGAGAAAGGTCTAGCTTGTGGATCCTGCCCCTTTATGCTGAGGTCTTTATCCAAACCAATCTCGAGACATTAACCCAAAGAAAATGGTTTAAATGGGAACTCGTATTTCATGAATTATTGCAGTCACTTCAACATGTACCATGGGCCCCCCCAAGGGAAGCCCTGAATCCAGAGCATTTCTTTAGGGGAACTGGTGGCTAGAATGGTGGCTATTTGGAGCTCCTGAAGGGAAAGTCTTCTCCCAGATCATCCCTCTACACCCCTCCCCTCTGCACTTTACACAACCACACCTTGCCCTCTCCACCACCAGCTTACTCTCAAAGCCTGGTCGAAGTAAGAGAAATGCAGATCCAATTCCTCACACTTCCTCAGAGCTTACCTGAGATTGAATGTGCAGCAAGTTAAGTAGTGATTAAAGCCACTCCATAAGTCTCCTTTGTAAGCACAAAGATCAGGCTGCAGGCCTTAAGACAGTCCATTCTATCTACCCATCTATCCATCTATTCATTTATTTCTCTATCATCTAGCTCGCTAGCTAGCTCACTAGCTATCTTATACACACACACACACACACACACACACACACACACACACACGCATATATGTAGACATTTAGTTTCCATGGGAATGTGTGGGACAATTCTAAAAGTATTAGGCAGGAACTGATTGTGCTTACTAATGAAGGAAGGTACTACAGTAGAGCCAAGGAATGATTAGAGGGGAGAGGTAGGGCCAGGCATGGTGATTCACACCTGTAATCCTAGCACTTTGGGAGGCTGAAGCGGGAAGATTGCTTGAACCCAAGAGTTTGAGACCAGTCTAGGCAACATAGCGAGAACTCATCTCTATAACAAAAAAAATTTTTTTTAATTAGCTGAGTGGGCGTGGTGGCAAGCACCTGTAGTCCGTCCCAGCTACTTAGGAGGCTGAGGCAGAAGGATGCCTGAGCCCAGAAACCGTGATGGTGTCATTGCACTCCAGCCTGGGTAGCAGAGTGAGATCTCGACTCACCAAACAAAAAAAAAAGTAAGGAGAGAGGGCACTGGGGTCTGTGGGTGAGCCCAATCCCCAGGTAAGGGAAGAAGTCAGGTCATTTGGTATATTCTTGTTGGATCGGATCATTAGATGGTATATATGATGTAAACCTTTGATCCAGATCAGTGTTAAAGAGGGAAATGTTTTATTTCTTAGTGTGCTCAGAATGCTCAGAGTCGCAAGCTCCCTAGGAAAGAGAGCATCTACATTCCCACCATAAGTATCGTCACACAATATAATGTACACACATCTCCTTGCCTCAGCTGCACTCACTGACGGTCAGTTTACTCTGACAGTCTTTTCCAGCATGGAGCACTTTGGCTGCTCAGCCTGGAACCTCCTCGCGGTCCTGGCTCGCCCCTCTGCAGGCAGAGCTGACCCGAGGAGGTCCAGGAGACACAAGCCTCACCCCGCCACAGGTTTCTCCATTTTAATGAGTCTCATTTGCTCATAAGACTCGTGCTTTGTTGAGTATCTGGCTCATGCCAGGCACATTTCCTCGGTGTTCTGACTTGAAGAACATCTAGGTTTTAGCCCACTGAGGACTATCTTTCTGCCTAGTTCTGGAAGCTTAGATTTGTGTCTGATTACGCCCCCAACCCCTGCTAGCTGGCTCCTCACATGTTCTCTTAAGGCCCTCATGTCCCCCAACTCCCACAGCCCGTGCCAGCTTGCCTCCCCGCAGGCATGCACACATGCACACCCACGCACACACAGATGCACACACACATTTTGGCTGTAGACACTGGACAAATAACATTGATGATGAAGGAAGGTCAAAGGTTTCACTACTCTTTCAACTAACACAACTAAGGAGAAGTCTTTGGGGGCTGTTACGTGAAAAGTGTGTTACTTCTTAAATTCTCTCTCTTCTTCAGTTTTTTCTTCCCCTAAAGGCTTAGCCTTCAAATAAAGATCCTCTAGATATATATTTTTTTATCTGAGACCAAACACTGGCTACTGACTGGTTAGAATTGTGAATTATGGTGTGTGAGAAGAAAGAATTTTTAGTAGAAATTAGTTTCCCAACATTTTGCGTTTTCTGCCTCTTTTAGGGATGACCCATATACCATGAAAATTTTCAGTCTCAAATTTTGAGTTCAGCATAGATTTTTATTGTTACTAATTCTTCCAGAGATTCACAATATCATTCCTTTGGCGGGGGGCACACAGCAAGAAATTGGCACTTGTGGGAGTCAGTCTCTTCAGAGCAACCCTGAGGTGGACAAGTATGCCCAGCCTTTGCCATTCTTGACGGGGCCAGGGGCAGGCCGTGCCTTTCTCCGGGGTGTTGGGTATGGAGTCTGCCTCCAGGTGGACCATCGGGAAGTTTCAGGAGGAGGATGTGCCCAGGGCCCTCCTCAAGGCTGCCTGCACTTCCGCTGCTCTCACTCTGCCTGGGTGTCATGAGAACACGGGGGCCCCTCATCACCCAGCTCTCCCCGTCAGGTCAGGACATCACTGTTTCTTTGATTCTGTGTCAGATTTTTGTTGGAAACTGGCACTCTACAGACAGTTTTAGGCAAACCAGAAATAACTTTTATGACCTGCAAAATACCTTTCTCTCGAGTTTTGTTGTGCCTCGAGTATATTTTAACACAGTGAGGTGACATGCATAGGCTCTTAGGAAGCAGGGGCGAGGAAAAACCTCCAGAGATCTCCCGTCCATCACCACAATGCCAGGCAGGCTTCACCCAACCCCCCCTCCCCCCCAGACATAGGTGAATATCCTGTTTTCACAGGTCATCAGGAAAAGAGACTCTACAGCAACTCTGGGCTAACCCTTTCCAGCGTTGACTTCCCTTCAACGCTTTCATTATCTTTGTATTACAGGGAAACACCCCGTGCTAGACTGCTGTGAGATTTTAAAACCCAAATTCTAATGTTTTGAACCAGATGTCACAAAGCCCGATTGTCAGCACACTGTTTAGCTGGTATTGAAAAATGCCATTTCAAACCAAATATTGACATCCACTCTTGGGACTGGACTCAGTCAGACAGCTTTCACTTTACTGTAAACGCCTAGCCTGCAGTTCCCTTGGAATTCCCTTCCATGTGGGATCCGGTCATCATTAAATGGTGGGGCTCTCCAGGTGTCCTTGACGCTTTCCTGCTCCCAGAAATCACAGCTATCGGGTTCCCTTTCTCTAAATCTTGTTGGCAGCAGCAAAACTGCCATGAAAAGCAAAGCACTATGTTTCCTAGAGAGTGCTCACTTAGACACATGCAAAGATTTTTGATGTTTGGTTTGTTCTTTTGGTTCTTAGAACAAGCAGCTGTAAAGGAATCCTTTCCCTGGCTTTCCCTTTCTGCGATGCAATGTGGGAAACCCCAGTGTGGTCTCCAAGTGGTCCAGAACTGGGTGGTTCTGGCACATGGTAATCCACAGGACCTTCCGCAGTTAGAAGTGGGAAATAGGCACCTCCCTTTCTGTCAGCTATTTCCTTTGGCAAAGCGGAAAGTCAGAAGGAACTGGACCGGTCAGAAAAGTCCTGACCAAGAGCTGGTAGAAACCTCAGGCAAGACACAGTTCCGTGAGATGCACTGTGCATGGTCATTGTCTGAGACGAGGGCCTGAAATTGACACCATATGCGCCCGAAGGAGTGATTGCTCCACCGGGTGGGAGAAAAGCAACATGTCAGAACATTTTAGTAACACCTAATTCATCCCAAGGTTATAAATAAATACGATGCTTGCTTAAAAACAAAAGTCGAAAATACTTTTAACGAGATTGCTTCTGTGATAGTGCTTCAGGCAGGGGTGAACTTCATTAGGGAGACAACACGAATAAAGAGGAAAACCTAACAACTTTGTACGGTATATTTTGCATGATTTTATTATTATTATTATTATTATTATTATTATTATTATTATTTGCAGTAAATAAAGTGGTTATAGGGCTCCAAAGAAAAGGGCCCAGATGTTAGAGAGTTGTGTGAAATGTAGGGGAAACAAGCTGTAAAAAATACAGTCATAAAACAGGCTGTCAGTGCCACACATCTGGACAATACAGCTGTATGTTCCTAGTGGCTGTCGTCACCCAAAGAAAACTCAATAACCTTATTTCACCCCAATTAGGCTGCATACCAGCATGATCCGCATTGAGTCGCAGGGGGGAGGGAGCAACGTTCGTATGGAGCCTTTGTGTGCAGCAGCTTTTATCTTCCACTTGAATTCGGTCACCAAGAAATAAAAGACTGCTCACATAGTCATTTCCACGATTATAAAGCCGTATTTAACTTCCAACGTTCCTAATAGCCAAAGTTTGACAGTCTGGCTATGCCAAACAATAGACTGTCGCATGAACTGCCCTAGCAGTCATCCTGAGGTATCTTTCCCATCTTACCTACCTGTCCTCTCCTCTGTTTTGGGAGTCTGAGGCTAACACCACCATGGAAAGTACTCTCTGCCTCATCAATACAAGTTGATATTCAGACAACCAAATTCATTTAAAGTAGAGAGCAAACGCCCCTCTCTGTAGCATTGGAGTATTTTTCCCCATTTGTTTTTTCAGCCGGCAATGAGGCGGCTTTGCAGTACAACAAATATTACAAAACATAACTTACCTTTTCATCTTTGCATCGCTGACAGACTGTGCCATGGTTAGAAAAGGTCACTTTTTCTAATAATTGTGTTTCTTTATAGGTACTAATGGCAGCAAAAACAATTATGGATAGTGGAGAGAAATTAACCTTACCACTGATAGGGAAGCTCTTAAAATTTGAGCTTCTACAGATTAAAGTTAAGGACCAACAGCAACGGGAAAACGAAAAGAAGGTACTGTACGTCTGGTGGGTTTTCAAAAGAGGGCAAACAGTGGGTGAAATGAAGCTGGGTTTCTCCAGGGTCACTTCCTCTCTTCTTAAGCCTACCATTAAGTGTCACCTGGCAAATTCAGCAGTCACCTGTACTTCTTAGGGAAAAGACTGTCCAAAGATCTGGAGGAATTATGAAAAACCCATTAAAAATAGGTTCCCTTACATATGAAAATGACAATATTCAGCATGTGTGCCCAAGACTATTTCTATGGCAGTATGTTTATATAATAAAATTGTAGCAAAAAGGGACCCAAGGAAGAGACAGAGAGCCAGGAAAAGCAAACATAAAAATTGAGGAAAAGCTATCAGAGTAAGGGTCTAACTATTTAAAATATGTTATGTGATATTCTATAGGAGTGCCTTTTAAAGCAATAGATCTATCTGCACCTTTGTAATAATCTGAATATTCCAGCAGCAATCCATCTACTTCTGCTCCAATATTTCACATCAAATAATTTAGGCACATGTGAATTTTTTATTTAATTCACTTATGGGAATCAACCTTTGTATTTTCCAAAGATTCATATTTGCATCTGAAAAAATATTTTAAAATACTAATAGCAATGCCAGGTTCAAATCCATTTGCTATTAGCATTACTCAAAATAAGATGTTTTTCTGATTTTCCAAATCAAGCAGAAAATTTTTTGCAAAGTCAAATGCTTCTGTATGTACATATGTAACATATGTGCATGTACACATGCGTGTATGAAATAGATTTCATATAAGTCACTTCTTTATGATTTCAAGTAGAAGAAGCACAGTCAATTCATGAATGAAGAAAAAGTAAATATGCCCCCAAAATCCAAGTTTTCTATTTGAATCAGGCTCTTGATGAGTAATTGTAGAAAAAAATAATAACACCACCTTGTATTTGTGATATAGAGCTTTATGTTATTGTCCAAATATGTTCTCCATATAACATTTTATTAAGGAAAGGTACATATTGTCCCCAGGAAAATTCTATTCATATGAATACATTTGATGGTAGAGTTTTCCATATATTTAGCTCTTTCCATCATGTACAGGGGATTTGTACCTTAAGAAATACTCAGGGAAGTTAAGACTTGGCAGGAAAAAAAAATTGGAAAAATTGAAAGTAGTATAGAAACCTCTCATCTTGCCTGTTTAAATTCCAATGTTATATGGGAATCAGAATTATAAAAAGTAGACTGATTCTTGTGAAAATTTCTGCCCTTTCTGTTTGCTCTGCACTTTCTCACAGCACTAACAAATAATGTGTTAAATACCATAAATTTACTTGTTTGCCATCTACTGTGTCATTACTTTTTTATTATAAGAGTAGGTAGTAGATATCAGTTAACAAACTTTCAGTACAGATAAATGGAATATCCTGATAGCTCAGGAAGAGGTTTTAAAGCTTGCAACAATGCAAAAATATGTCTACACTGTTATTTTATTCAGCATTTCTTCAAGATGTGAACTGTAATAATACAATTATAATACAATTATTAAAGTCTGAAGTTATGGAAATAATCTTAATTTATTTGTTGAAAATTTGAGAGTCTTAAATAATTGGGGCTTGAACTTTAGATCTAATGTAAGAAAAAAGCAATACATACAGTAAGAGAACTCTTTGAGCAATTAAGAGCCAACAATTACATAATCTAATTTGATGTCTTCATTATTTTGGGTTCTCAAAGCGCCAGCCCCAAATCTGAGTCACAGCCATATGAGTAAGCGCTAAATAAATTGATGAAAACTGATTGGAATGGCATGCTCTCCAGAAAATACTCTTGGTAAAGAGGGTTGTTTGTGGGATGATATAATCTATGTTCATTTCAACAATACTCGCCAAGAGGTCATTGGACCAATTGAGGTTAATGCTTGTCAGCCAAGGGGTTTGGCAAAAATCAAAGTAAGTAGAAAATATGTAAAACTAACACCATGCTGTGGATTAGAAAATGAAAAAAAGAAGAGGACTTTACCCAATCTCTTTCTTACTTCTGGACCCAGAGTGAGATTCTGAGATTCCTACAAGGGAAGTGACTGCCTTTTCTGCTTTTGAAAATCAATATGAAATCTATGTAGATTTTTTCTTTCAAAATCCTAATTATATTGTTTCCATCTATACAACCCAGAAAGTGTTTTATATCTTATATGTTTAATTTTTCAAATTGTGTTTTTAAGAATGAATACTTTAAAAATATTCACAGTAGTAATTACAGAAAATATTAAGGATGAAATAAAGGGCAAAAATAACTAATATAATGAGGTTCCTGTTCTTTTACCCCACTATAACAAATGTAATGCCTCACTGTATATTTGATCCTGTCTTAATTTATCAAAACTTAAAAAAAAGGTCAATAATATAGTTTCAATTGCTAAATGTAGTAAAGAAATATATCATTAGTTTAGAATCTGCTTATTTTAGTCTAGGCTGTGTTTAACATTGCTTTTGCGTCCTGCTTTGCAAGAAATATCACTGGATAACTAATATTATTTTGAAAACACAAGGAAAGATCATTATAAGAGGGACAGTTTTAAAGCCTTGAAAATGTGAATTTCTGAGTTGCAAATGCTAGTCTCTAATTGCAAATAATTTGACTCTATTTGGAACACCTTGTTAATTAATTTCAAATATAAACATCATGAACAAATGTACTGTATTTCTATAATATATTTTAGCATTTCAGAACTTTTGAATGACTGTTACACAATAATTCTGAACCAGTTACATTTTATTATATCTTAAAATTTAAATAAAAGTTTTCTGTTTAGAAATATATTTTCCTTATATCATTATCTCAACATTTGTTTTGCATTTTAGTTCCATTATTATCAACCTGTTAATTTATTTAACAAACATTTATTGCAACAAAGATTTATAGAATCAGTTACTAAAAAACAGAAACAGTTTACTGATCACATATAGTCGCATCATGTTCATTATAATTTTAAAATAAATTGTTTGATTTCCATTCTGACCTGTTTTAATTTAGTCATTATCTGAATATTATATTTTCACTTACATTTTTGCTTCTTTTTAACTCCAACTTTTACATTATATATTAATTATGAGCATTTATTTAAAACCAAATCAGGTGTAAATCCAAATATTTTTATTATATTAGAATTCAACTAAAATAAAACATTTCATTATTTTTTTTTAAAAAGATGAAAAATAGCTACAATACATACAAATCATTAACCATTTAAATAATTGGGCAAGCGAAATCTAGACTTATGTACCTCTAAGTTGAATTTAGAATGTCTGTATAGGTTTTAGGTAAAGCTCCAAGTGTCTTCTAACTGTGCTTTTAATTTATAAATTCAAACAGCCAGTCTATATTTTCTTGGATATTTTTTTAGGTAGCATATATTTTATATAAAAGAACAGTGCTTTCTTTTTTCTGGCTTATATGCTTAGTACAAGTTATCTTATTTTCTGATGTACTAGAATTGAAGAGAAAGGAGATATGCATGCATAACTAGGGAGAGATGGTATTTGGTGTGCTTTCTTAAAACAATTTAAAATTAAAATTGTCGAAGTTGGATAATGAAGCCACAAAGAACCCAGAGCCTTCTCCAGAAAGGGACGAAGAGAAATCAGAACTTTCACAGACGTTTTCCAGCTTACTCCAGTTGAAACCCCGAAACGCTGGAAACCAGCCAATATAATGCCATTTGTGTGTGCGTGTTTTGTTTTAAAAGAAAGGCCATAGGGACATACCAGGAAATTACAGGCTGGTTAGTTTTGATTCAGTTGTGGTTAAAATCTTCAGAAACTATTTTAAGAAATCAAACGGAGAAAGAGCAGGAACTCAGTTTAGAGGGACCCGTGTGGTTTCAGGAAAGGAATAACTTGCCTCACTAACTGGATGGAATTCTTTGAGGCTAGATTATTGAAATGAGGACACTAACAACATGAATGTTGGATCGAAGGCTCTTCAAAACCCAACAATTCAGGAGAAATAATAAATGACTCCTGGCTGGTTTATCTGAAGAGTAGTGTTTTCCTAATTGGTTACTCTTTTTTTTTTGAGTCGGAGTCTCACTCTGTCACCCAGGCTGGAGTGCAGTGGCCGCTCCCGGCCACCGCAGCCTCCACCTGCTGGGCTCCCGCGATCCTTCCGCCTCAGCCTTCCGAGTAGCTGGAACTACAGGCATGTGCTACCACACCCCGGCT